GAAAAGCATCTCCAATAGACTGACTGATGAAGGCTTTTATCCACAGCTGCTCTCTTTGCTGGCTCCATACTGAAGATCAAATGGACAGGGGGAAATAAGTGGCAACAATAGACTATGAGAAAAAATTAACCAAGAACCTATCGTTCAAGATATGTGTAACAGAAAATCAAGATGGACTGGGCATACATTGCCGTATTGCCAGGTCAGTGTCCAAGTACAATCTGAATGAGAAGTGCCGAGTGGGTCGTAGGTATGACAGTGATATGGAGGAGATGAGAGATCACTGGCAGTTGTCGACCCAACCGAAGAGTACTGCAGAGAATAAATAACAAAGTGGAGATGTGTTGTTGAAGCCAAATATTCCAACCCAACTAACCACTATAAAAATAACAAAGGGGGATAAATTTTCAAGTATTGGTTTTGTAGGGATTTTGTTTGATTGCATGGAGGCTCAATGGTTTACGAGCTCGCCTTGTAACCAGAAGGTCCTGGGTTCGAATCCCGGTGGGTGCGTACTGCTGAAGAGTCTTAAACTAGGACGAAACAGCTGTCCAGTACTCCCAGGTTTTCCAGTGGTTCTCTAACTGATGTCAGCTTATGATTAAATCCTCCATGCAAAGGGGACTATTGTTTTGCTTCTCAAAAAAGAAAACTATACTTCCGCCTACTGCTCCTGTCCTGAAGAGAAGTACATCCATGTAAGATTTATGCCATGCGTCTTGAGTACATATCCAAATTCTTTATGTATACTCGGTTGCCCACTCGAAATCATCTGTCCGAGGCTTATCATCAAGATGCGGTCAGTGAAAGTGTTACTTTAAGCATTACTTCTTTTCATGAAATAATGGTGTGGAGCCAAACCTGCATGGAAGTTCTAGGTAGATAGAAGAGGCAGGACAAACAGTGGATCACTATGGACACTTGGAGACTAATAGAAGAGAGAAGGATGGTGCAACAAAAGATTATCTAGTGCACTGACGAGCAACAAAAACAGGAGTTGAATACAAGCTACTATACACTGAACAAAAGAGTAAACAAGAAGAGTGCCAGGGAAGACAAAAGAAAATATTATGAAACCATGGCAAGTAAAGCGGAACAAGCTGCAGGCAAAGGAGACCTGGCCACACTCTACCACACAACTAGGAACTTAACGAGAAAACGTTCGACACAGATTAAGCCAGTCAAGGATGACAATGAAAAGTCAATCACCAAAGAGGTGGAACAAAGAGAACACTGGGTTGAACACTTCAGAAGACTTCTAAATCGACCGCCACCTATAACGCGCCCAACAATACCAACAACGGAAGCAGAACTCCCAGTGAACATTGATCCCCCGACGAAATCAGAAGTCCTGAATGCAATCAAGATGCCAAAAACCGGAAAAGCAGCAGCACCAGATGGAATCCCAGCAGAAGCACTGAAAATGAACCCAGAGACAACAGTGGACTGGATGACTCCATTACTGGAGAATGTGTGGAAGGAGGGCAAAGTACCCGAAGATTGTAAGAAAGGATACTTATTCAAACTGCTAAGGAAAGGAGACTTAAGTCAATGCAAAAACTCGCGCGGAATTATGCTCCTGTCCATTCCAAGCAAAATACTAGCCACATCATCCTGGAGAGAATCAAACACGCCAACCTGGATGAAAAACTTCGACCGGAACAGGCTGAATTCAGGAGAAACAAGTCATGTATTGATCAAATCGCCACTTTACGAATCATCATTGAACAAAGCTTAGAATGGCAGTCACCCCTCTATCTCAACTTCATCGACTTTGAAAAGGCCTAAGACAGACAGCGTCGATCGAGAGGTGATTTGGCAACTACTTCGCTACTACGGGGTGCCATCGACAATTATACATCTCATGCGACAGTTATGCGACAATGCTGCATGTCAAGTAATCCACAATGGGAAACTTACGGAATCCTTCGAAGTAAGGACGGGAGTGCGACAAGGCTGCCTACTATCACCAATGATTTTCCTGATTGTAATAGATTGGATAATGCGACAGGAAACGGGTAATGAGGAAACAGGCATAAGATGGACTCACACAAAAAAATTGGAGGATCTGGACTTCACCGATGATATATGTCTGATTTCCCACAAACTGGAAGATGTGCAAGTGAAAAGCAACAAGTTGGCAGGACAAGCATCAAAGACAGGACTTCAAGTGAACATAGATAAAACAGAGGTGATGAAGATTCTTGGCCAACACCAACAGCAGCAACAACAACAGACAACAATCAGCATACATGGGAGGAACCTGAAAGAAACAACCCCCTTCACCTAACTGGGAAGCATCGTTCCAACTACGGGCGGATGGAACTGACGAGGATATCAAAGCCAGAATCAGAAAAGCAAGACAAGCTTTCATTACTCTCAAATCTGTGTGGAGGTCAACAGCACTCAGCATCAAAAATAACATCCGGATTTTCAACTCCAATGTAAAGTCAGTGCCACTATATGGATGAGAGACTTGGAGAGTCATAAAGAGCATCTCAAACAAACTACAGACCTTCATTAACAGCTGTCTTCGCTCAATACTCAAGATCAGATGGCCATCCAGAAAAGATCAGCAACAGGGATCTCTGGAAATGAGCGAACCAATCAGGAACCTATTGTGAAACAAATAGGCAGGAAGAAATGAAGATGGATTGGCCATACGCTGAGGAAACCACCAAGCGACATCACTAGACAAGCCCACGAGTGGAACCCGAAAGAGAAACGGCGAGTTGGTCGTCCAAGGGTGACTTGGAGGAGGTCATGCGAGGAGGAGATGAAAGCATGTGGGCAGACTTGGAGCGAAGTGAAAAAGTTGGCAGAAAACCGAAGTCAATGGAGGTGCGCAGCTGAAGCCCGATGTTCCTCTAGGAACTAAAGGATATAATAGTAATAATGAAATAACACCAGATTATAAAAGACGAGCATTCTCCACCAGCGCTCAATGAATATTGCCAGAAAACCAGGAAAGAAGCTTTATGAACCACACCAAGTTAACTTCAACAATGCGATATAAAGATGCCAATCTGAAATTGTTGAAGAGTCTTAAAGCAAATGATAATTATTCACGTTATCTTGCTAAACCAGAAAAAAACATGTTTTGAGTTACGCTAGTTTTTCACTAACTTCTATTCATAATGCTTGGATGCTCCTGTCATTTTGACAAAAATTACGTGACTATTAGACTAATTCAAATGCTTTGGATATACAAATCCCTATTTCAAGGATCGATTTATCAGACAATTAGTTTTCTTTCATTATTACAACAACAAATATTTGAGCAATCCAGGTGAACAGTATTGTGCAGCTGTCATCAGGAATAATAATAACACTGAATCACATGCCAAACCACTGATTTCAACAGCTGAACGCATAAAGCATCTATATGGGATCTTGAGGAATAATGAATGACTTGCTACTGATCCATCCAGATAAGAGTGTTAACAGTATCCCCATCAACTGTCAAAAGCACTTTGACAAAATCCTCTCCATTATATCAGATGAAAAGAAATTTTCCAAAGAGGCAGTTTAATTTAGTGAGGAGCCTAAAGATCAAGCTAGAAGATTTAAATGCTGAAGTCAAACAAATATGGAAGGCAATACTAATAAACAAATGATTACCAATCAGAATTTATATAGAAATGTGTGAAGAATCATAGAAAGATTGAGATTAGTAATGAAAATAGGGAAAAATAGCAAGTATCAGCAGTCCTATGTTGGATCATTATTGACTCTGAAATTGCAGTGGCATTTGAACTAACCACCTCTCTCTCAGAGATAAACTTTGTTGGCTTAGAGATCCGATAGATCCAGTTAAATTATCAAATATCGCGTAAGGACTCTGAGGTCAATTACATAAGTCAAACTTTTAGATCAGGGTCAATTAAATTACTGGAAGAAAAAATTTACCAAGACCCACAATGATTCACCCTAGCTGGTAAGTTAAATAACACAAGAAAAAGCCTAGCCATTGCATTGTCAGCGCTTGCATGCAATCACTCAAAACGGTGAAATAGACGCAAAGTATCAAAACGTAATCCAGTTAGGCGGAGAGAGAGGTCTGTTTATCCTATCAACATATGATATCTAGTATTCAACTGAGTAGGACGTCTTTTATGTGTACTTTAGGTAAGCCGTAAATGCGTGAAGTTGTAGAACCAGGTGGATGCAGTTCATCGTATAACTTAGAACTGATATTGGATTCGTCTTTCATTTCGGCAATAGAATATCTGGTGAATTCAGGACATTCAGCTCGACGTGAAACGTCCCCCAAAATTATATACAAGATCCGATCAGACCTTTCGAATGAAGATTTAGTTAGAGAACCATTGGAAATCCTTAGGGGAGTACTGGATGGCTGTTTCGTCCTAGTTTAAGACTCTTCTTCAGTGCGCACCCACCAATAAGTTCGAACCCGGAAACTTCTGGTTACAAGACTGGCGAGCTTGTAGATCATTAGGTCACTGGGACCCTATACAACGACCAGAACATGAATTCTAACTTTTGCCAATTCATGACACACATAGCGTGACCACTTTGCAATGTGTTCTTCGACGAGTTACTGCCCTACCTTCATGTGAATTGGCAGAAGTTAGAATTTATGGGCTGGCCACTGGATCGTGTTGGTGAGTCCCGGTGGCTTAATGGTCTACCAGCTTGCTAGCCTTGCAACCAGAAGGTCCTGGGTTTGAACGCCTATAATGGGTGCGTACTGATAAAGAATCCCCAAAACTAGGATGAAAAACAATGTCCAGTACTTCCAGGTGAGTTTTCTAATGGTTCTGTAACTGATGTCAGCTCATGATGAAATCCTCCAACTAATTAATTAATATGGATCTTTGCAGAATGAGTCATTATTAAAACAAAAAAACCTATAATTATACTTTTGTCTTCGATAAACTTTAGACTTATACCAGTCATAAAGCTGTAATTCAGTATTGTATACCCCTCAAAATGAAACATACTCATATAGTAAAGTATTACATTCACTGATAGATTACCTTTCTTCCACTTGAATAAATCACAGATTTGAGAATAGTTGTATTGAATTCTGTGACTTCAGCTTCACTATTCCAAAATACATGTTGAGATTCTAATCGGTTTTCTTGTCCACGTAATGTCGCCGCCATATGACTATGCCGTTGATACTGGACTAATTCAAGCTTGGTTAAATCCTCCAGAAGTATTTGTCCTTCAGGTCCAATATGATATAAGGAGACATCAGATTCAGGATTTGAATCTGCTGTACATTCTAAATTTAGCATTTGGCCTAATTCACCGGAAAGTAGATCATTCATTGGAGTTAAAAACGCTGGACCATCTGTAAATATACAAGGCGAAAACAGACAAAACAGAAGAATAGATGATCAGTATAAAAGTATAAGACTTGATCATTGTGGTGGTAGAGTATAACTCCAGTATGGATAAGATTTTATTTTGATAAAATCATACTGTAGTGTTATACAGGAATATTTACTGATGATGACCACGTTTCGAGCACACTTTATTACTACTGCTCATAATCTCATATCAACGCACTACTCACTCACAAAACTTTCCTGCTTCATTTATCATACAAGAGTGAAAATTGATGATTAGACATTGGAATAAAATCAATATAAGATGAGAAAGTACATTCAGAAATAATAATATTAGTGTTATCAACAAAATACAATCAGATGGGAAATAAGATGTATTTTACGGTGACTTGTTAGAATGTGAATTGAATTGAATATATTTTAACATTATTTACTATTCTCCTCTGATTTGACTGGTGATAGTAATATCCTCTCTCACATATCCCTGGTATTTGTATTGAGTTACTTCTGTTCCATGTGTTAGGTGTAGATTATTCGATGAACACGGCAGGATTCAGTAATCAACTTTTCTCTCTCTATCTCCACCTACCCAGATTACTTCTTGGAACTTTAACCCTCTCCCTCCCACCCTGTTGTGTGGTTTTGTGTTACTGCATGCAGTGCGATTGCTGAGCTTTTTTTCTAAATAACTTATCTTAGTGGGATCAACCATTCTGGCCTTAGCTAAATTCCTATGTTCTGATAATCTGACTACCCCCGCCCGATCTAGTAGTTTGACCTATGTAGTTGACCTCACTCACAGTCATCACAAGGTATTCTGTTAATTATATTAATTTGTCCAATTGGCTCAACCTACAGGATCCATTTCACCTGCAGAGCTTGTACTATTTGAGTGAGTTTGTAGGTTTAAATGCCACCTTTATTCCTGCTTTATTAAGAATCCTACACAGAGGGGAGGTCCCAGATTTCTCCTACTTATCTATTGAAACTGTAGACGCTTTTTATTCTTTCTTATTTGTTATCATTATTAGTTTCATCATTATTTTTATTTTGCTTTCGAACTTTTTTGATATTCCTGATAAATTTTATAGGACAAATGGTTATTCAACACCAAAATCTTTTCTTGTAGTACTTAGTGTTGTTAATGCTCGGTTTGTGAAACACTTAACTAAGTGCGTCGGTAGCACAGTGGTTAGGACTCTCGCCGACCATGCACATGGTCCGGGGTTCGAGCCCACGCCGGCGCACACCTGATATCTATGGTCGGCCTGCAAAATTTGGGCTACCGATATCCACGCTGAAAATTCCATACTTGTACCAAAAATACAGTGTGGAATCAAGCTGTAAATCTAAAAAAAAAAAAAAATCCTTCCTTAACAATTAACGGATGAGACGAATTAAAGTCTAAATAACTATTAGAATGCGTTGGCTTTCTGTTAACACTAGTGTGTAGTTAGCCTTCTTCTATTCGTTTTATTTTACAATCTAACATCGTAACTAGTTCTCCCTTTTCATTGTCCGATTGAAATATGAATTTTATTCCCTCTACTAATGAGTTTATATGCATCAAGAAGCTAGAGATATGTTCTGCTTTTAGCACAGTGAAAGTGTCATCCACGTATCTCCACCATATTTTTGGAGCAGGATTAAATGTGATTTACCAAAAGAAAACCTTATCCATAAGGCTCAGAATAAGTTAACCCAAAAAAATCTGAGACAACAAACTCTGACCTTAAAGTGAACACCTCAACTGCAGTTAGATTACACGGTTTGACGTCAGTCACACAGCCGGTGAAAACGCCGGTGAGTACTGGTTCTCTAATTCATTGTAGTGTGAGACTACACAGACCCATGCACGTACCAACGCAACTGCGTCTTCAGGTTACGAAGCCATCCCACTTACCATTCACCCACTAGGGCTGAATCTGATGGTTTGTGAACTAATTTCTGTCATTCCTCAATTCATAGAGCCACGATCAGATAGTATTATCAATAAATATTTATCTCCACTGTTGGCTTGTTGTATCCTGCTGGTCACGACTTCTTATTAGAAGTAAGAGCAACTTCATCCTTTAGTCATCAATACTACTACTGTAACAACAGAAGACAAGGGCCAGGCAACAGATCGTTTTATTATGAAAATCAACACGTATTTATACATCTTTCAACTACATTATTATAGACAAGCGCAGTCATCTGATTGGTTGTTTAGGTAGACAAACGCAGGCTTCTGATTGGTCGTTTCGGGATTCCTTGACAAATAGAGTTCTCTCTGCGAATCATATTCTGCCACGTTAACTTTGCTGTGATTGGTTGTTGACTCAGGCTTGTTCATATTTTCTCACGGCCCATATTAGTGACCTAGACCTTAACGTAGATTAGTGCCAACCAATCGGCTAGCAGCCTGCTCTCACCACACTCGTCCCCCCGTCAAATACGTGCGACTGAAGTCGGCTTGATCTACTTGGTGCAGGCGTCATCGTTGGCTTGTCTCGCTGTATCCATTTCTGGAGCTCGCTGACGTTCACGCGCCTCTCATTGTTCGCCATTGCGACTGTGTCTGCGTAACCCCATCTCGAAGTGACCATATATGGTCCTTCCCACTTTGGAAACTGTTTGCCTGACCCTGTCGAACATTCGTCCATACTTCGGCCCACACCTTCATATGCTGCTTTCGCCCGACCTCCCAGCAGCGTCTCAAGTAGCAGCTCCATCGCTGACAGATCTTGAACGCCACTCAACTGCGCAGAAGCCTTGAAGTCCTGCCCGAAGATCCATATGTCTCCATCAAAAACTGCAGGGTATAGGCTTTTCATTTGTCGGTAGGCAGCGACACCAAATGTAACAACAGAAGACAAGGGCCAGGCAACAGATCGTTTTATTATGAAAATCAACACGTATTTATACATCTTTCAACTACATTATTATAGACAAGCGCAGTCATCTGATTGGTTGTTTAGGTAGACAAACGCAGGCTTCTGATTGGTCGTTTCGGGATTCCTTGACAAATAGAGTTCTCTCTGCGAATCATATTCTGCCACGTTAACTTTGCTGTGATTGGTTGTTGACTCAGGCTTGTTCATATTTTCTCACGGCCCATATTAGTGACCTAGACCTTAACGTAGATTAGTGCCAACCAATCGGCTAGCAGCCTGCTCTCACCACACTACTACTGCCCTGGCTTTCAGTAGGGACTATAAATTCATGAATTTGTAAAATTATCTTTCCTAATTTTTTCTAACATTCACCTTATTTTATGTTGATGCCTTTGAACTGTAATCTATTGATATTGTTGATTCGATGTTATTTAAACAACATTAATGTTGTGCATAACACTAATTCATTCATTCACCATGATGTAAACATATATAACTGTAGAGCCTGATGATGAAGGTGTTATTGAAAAGACTATTCTTTGTTTAGTATCCATTTTCGGAAAGCCAGTGAATGTGTCCCTATCAAAAATCTTTGCACAAGATTGAAGATAAGACGCCCACCCATAAAAAGTATTAGGAAAACGAAACTCTGGCAGGTGACAAAACTGCCAACATCTTGTTAAGGAACAAGTGCACATAACTTATGTTGGAAAGTGACACGCATATGATCTTATGTAGACGATATGTAAGCATGCTGAAAATGATGACAAGAAATAGAGTACTGATGAGATATGATGTTAAAGCCCTATGTTCTACTCGAACTTCAATCTTTCTTCAGTTCTTTGTGCTTCGAGTGGAACATAATGCCTATAACTTAAGCTCTGAAGTTTATTAGTCGTGTTTTCTTACGGTGTGAGGTCTCTAGCCTGACACCCAGCCTTCTCTCTTCACAAGGCTTAATACTCACTGGTCAGGTGACGTACATGGGATCGAACTTCAAAACCAATCTAATGGATGGCCATAATTCTACTCATGAACTACTTACTGATGTACATCTGTAAATAAAAATCTCCAATTTCATGAACAATTCCCATTCGGACATTAATAGACAAAAAACCAGTTGTTCAGCAAAGAGTCTCATTTCCGTGGCGAATTCATTTTCGTAGCTCTACAACCACAAATATATGCATGGTTGTTTTGTAAGTGTGTGTACATTAAATTTGTCAAGGAAAATACAATAAGTAAGTTCAGATGGATTGAATGTTGATGTAAGAGAGTAGTAAAAAAAGTAATGAGTTGTCACAAACGATTGTTAAAGGAGAGTTGCGTAATAACATGAATAGTTTGTCGAAAGGGTTGTCCTCAGGGTGTACATGAAAAACAAAATAATATACAGAATTACACAAGAATTGTAAGTAGTTAGAAAAATAAGCAGACAAACAAAATTTAAGTCAAATCAACGAAGTTGTTACCATGAGAGTAGATGGAAGTGGTTGAATAATTTTCTTTTGTGTGCATATTTCTGATTCTTTCAACTGAATGACTAGGGCTCCTGCGACGCAAAGAAGACGGAAACGTATTGTCTTTGGAAGGTTGTTCTTCACTGTGTAGATGAATTCGAAGCAGGAGGCGTTTGTTGAGATGGAATGATCAGTGTTGGTTGACGAGATGTTCGATAACTGCACTCCTTATATGGCTACCACTTCCTTTCTACAGCCACACTGGATAGTGTTCTTTGACCCTTTTGGACAGGATGCGCGTTGAACGACCGATGTACCTGGCTGGCTCCACAGCAACAGGTGACAACTGATATATACACATAGAATTGGTCAGGTGAGGGATATTTTCCTTTGGGCTTCTGTAGATTACCGGGCGATTTGAGAACACTACTCTCAATGTTGCTGCAAGGAGGTGGAAATTCTCTTTCTGAGGAAGTCACCAAGTAGGTCTCCTTTGAAATCAAGGTTCATGTAAAATATCTTTTTTGGCACAGATGGTGTCTCTTGCTTTTCGAACTTTTTGTTTGATGTTTTTGTCTACGAATCTTGATGGATAACCGTTTCGTATGAAGATGTATGAAGATTTAATGTTTATATATCTACACACACACACACACAAAGCAACTA